GGAGACGGTGAGTTCTAGTCCTGCCTTAGGTATGAAAGCCAGCTGGGATACTTTGAGCCAATTGTCAGGAGACGGTGAGTTCTAGTTCTGCTCTAAGCAGGAAAGCATCCGTGAAGCGAGACAGTGTGTTAATTTAAGATAACAGGTACTGAGAGTAGAGCATATTTTAACTCAGGGTTGAACGTTGGGGACCTTGGTGCTGTCTGAGCCTGGCTCTTTATGGAGTGGTGATGGGGAGGAGGAGGAAGAGGAGGAGGACGACGACTGTGGGGTCCTTGGTGCTCCCTGAGGTTAGTCATTTTCACATTTCTTGCAGATGTTTCATGACCCAACTAGGTAACATCATCAGAACTAGAAAGGAGAGGGGTTTGCAGAGAGGAGGAGGAGGAGGACTGTGGGTGCTCTCTGAGCTTGGTTTTCTTGCAGACATTTCATGACCCAACTAGGTAACACCATCAGCGCCAGAAGGAGAAGAAGGACGACTGTAGGATCCTTGGTGCTCTCTAGAGTTTGGTTACTTTGTCGCAGCCGCTACATTACCAAAGCAGGCAACGTTAGAATAGCGCTGACAGTATAATCTGGTGTAATATATCACCAGCTGGGCACTGATGATGCTACCTAGCTGGGTAATGAAACGTCTGCCGAGGAAACCACCCAGCTCAAGAGAGCACCAAGGGCCAGGAGGAACAAGAACAGGGGGAAAGAACAGCTTCGGCGTGTTGTGTGAACCAGGGGTGGGATTAAAATGGTTTTGCCATTTGAATTCGGTTCGGTGGGCGCGGCTCGGTGGGCGTGTTTTGCCTAACGCCGGCGGCACAGCTTATTTCTTAACCGGTTCTGTGGGTGTGGCCTAATTTGTGGGTGCGGCCTGCCGGTCATGGCTTGTATGTAAATATTATAAATATTTATATAAATATTGATTTATTTTTTTTATTATTAAAAAAGAGCAACTTTTACTCCAAACCAGGCAAAGCAGATTTGAGTTGCTCCCAGAATCCCAGATTCACTGAAGAGATCTGTGTTCCTGCTGGTCATGGCTTGTATGTAAATATTATAAATATTGATATAAATATTGATAATTTTTTTTTTATTAAAAAAGAGCAACTTTTACTCCAAACCAGGCAAAGCAGATTTGAGTTGCTCCCAGAATCACAGATTCACTTAGAGATCTGTTTTTCGGCCATCGGCTAGCTGAGTCTGCACAGCTTCAATCCTAAGGAAGGTTCGGCTTAAAAGCAGGGCTGAAGATCTAAAGATTAACTAGAAAGCAAGAAATCCAACAACTTTCCTACTTTCTAGTTAATCTAAATCTTCCAGCATACCAGAACAGCTGATATGGGGGGGAAAAGGAAAAATAGCAAGTTTGCCAGGTGAGGATTGAGTTGGCGTAGAGGGTTTCCGCGGGCCGTGTGTTCCCGCACAGCCTGGATTAATTGCTTTGCGGGGTGCTCTGGGGGTGACATTTCTCTGCGGACCGCCAAAATATAGACCGCCAGTGGGCCGCGGACCACCGGTTGACGACCGCTGGAGAACATGATCGATGACTCTTGGCTATGTAGGTATCTCATTGGAGAATAATTACGATACCCCCAGGGGTGGGGGGGAAAACCAGGGTCAAGGTTGACTCAGCTTTCTGTCCTTCCACGGTCGGTAAAATGAGGACCCCGATTGTTGGGGGAAAAAGAGGCTGACTGTGTAAAACAGCTTAGAGAAGGGCTGTGAAGCGGTATGTCAACTCCTAAAATATTTCTATGGTTTTTAAAAGGGGGGGGGAGGGATTTTTAAACAGCAGTGTGGCAGCTTGGAAACCGAAAGCGCATTCCATACATAGCTTTTCAAAGATAGTAAAATTAGGCGACTGAAGTGTCTGCCATGCAAATATCTGACTGGAAAGAGCCCGATTGAAGATTCTTGGCTATGGATGTGTCGCATTGGAGAATATGAATTAGGATACACCCAGGGGAAACAGGGTCAAGAGTAACAATGAATGATGTGCCTCAGAGTCGGCTACACCCAGGCAGTGCCGGACATGTTAACTCCCAATAAATCCTGTTGAAGTTTTGGAAGTTTGGCTCGAGACTCGTGATTTAAACGTGGGGGCGACTGCCGGAATCCTGACACCTGACCTGTCTCGAGTTGCCAGAGGTTAAGGGGGAATGGGAAAGTGAACCTCGCAGCTGCATCAAGGTCGCACTTACAGTCACAAAACAAAGCACATTCCAACCCGACGACGTCAAGGTCATCTCCACAGAAACCCAGAGTGACTTCTACAACCCGTGAAACTGCTTCGTTGGGGAATGTGACTTGAGTTACACATTCTTGGAGGGAGGGGGAAAGGGGGTCAGAGCTGAATTAACTGAGGGTCAGAGTTGGCTCCACTTGGTCCATGCCGACATGACGTTCCTGATAAATAACTGGATGTCTTTTGAAGCTGGGCTCGAGACTCGTGATTGAATTGGGGGCAACTGCCGGAATCCTAACACTCCCCACTGGTGTGAACGCAGCCCAGTGTCCTTGGCAACCGGGGTGGGGTGGGGTGGGGAGACTCTCACCAGGCGAAGGGGACCTTGCGGTGCTCCTGCATGATGTAGTGGTCGTTGTTTTTGGGCAAGGCGCGCATGAGGCCGAAGTCCCCAATCTTGACTAGGTCGTTGGCCGCCAACAGGATGTTCCGGGCAGCCAGATCGCGGTGGATGAAGCGCTTGGACTCCAGGTAGGCCATGCCGCGGGCGATCTGGATGGCGTAGTGGCAGAGGGTGGCGATCAGGAAGTGGCCCAGGTTCTTGCGCAGGCGGTCCAGCAGGGAGCCCAGCGGGGCCAGTTCGGTCACCTGAGTGGCAGAGGGGGGCACAAGAATGGGGAGGGGTTAGGTCTTAGGAAGCCCTCCGAGGCGCAAGACACCACGTCCACAAAACAAAACTCTCTGTGTGTGTGTGTGTGTGTGTGTTAGCCAGTAAAGGCGTGCTTAATGACTCGCTTAACGACTGCCAGGACTCCTTAAAAGACTGCTGGGTCTGCTTAATGACTGGCAGGACTCGCTTAGCGACTGCTGGGCTCGGTTAATTATTGCCGGGACTCAATGACTGCCAGGATTTGCTTAACAAATCCTGGGTATGCTTAACGACTGCCGGGACTCGCTTAATTTAGGACCACTGGGTCCACTTAACGACCGCCGCAAAAAAAGGTTGCAAAAACGGGGTGTAATCACATCGTGGTTCACTTAACAACCATCTTAGGACCATGATTTACGGGCATTACGTTGAGGACTACCCGTTATCAAGATCACAGCCACCCCCCACCCTAATCCCCGTTGTTCTCCCAGGCTCCAGGGGTTTTTGGAGTGGGGAATGCGGGGGGGGGGGGGGGGGGCGTGTCCCTCACCATCTTCATGGGGTTGGAGAGCACCACGCCGTAGAGGCGGATGAGGTTGACGTGGTCCAGGGAATGCATGGCGTTGACCTCACGGATGAAGTCGTCCAGGGCCTCCGGCTGGTTCAGGGCGTCCGTCTTCAGGCACTTGAC